ACATAAGTTATGTATAATTCGAACGTGTGTTTCAAGTGTGTGTTCGTATGTGTGTTCATGTAGGTCACGCGCCTCAGAACAAGTGAAGGGTTGCCTTACCATCTAGTTAGGGCTACCAGTCATCTGTGAGTAATAACTTTATAAAGTTATGTTTAATGTTAAGTATTTTCTGAATATTATGATACGAAGTAATTAGTTCTCTGAAATGCCATGCTATGTTTAAAATGAATAAATGGTTGTCCAGGATTCTGAAAGTTATTCATGGCATCCTTAGCATCACATGATATGCGTCCCTTTATGGGTCATCAGGTCCCTTTATGGATCATCAGAAACGTCTCTGTGCACATGAGTCATCAGAATGCCTTCAAGGCTGTCCCTTTATGGGCCATCAGATTTGTTAACGCTAAGGGATGTACCATGTATGATTATATGCAAAATCTGAATATGTATATGAATCTATTTATGATAAGAACTGTGGCATCCTTAGCATCATATGATATGCGTCCATTTATGGGTCATCAGGTCCCTTTATGGGTCATCAGAAACGTTTCTGTGCACATGAGTCATCAGAATGCCTTCAAGGCTATCCCTTTATGGGCCATCGGATTTATTAACGCTAAGGGATGTACCACGTATGATTATATGCAAAATCTGAATATGTATATGAATATGTTTCTGATAAGAACTTGGTTTCTAACTCTATGATGGACATCATTCATTAAATCCTTTACTCTGTTTTTATTCATTGGGCTTTAGCTCATTGTGTGTATATATATGTATAGGTGAGCATTCTGGAACCCGAGCTTGAAGGCTTTTGTCTGGATCTGTGTTCTGTTGTCAGCCAACCATTGTGCCTCAATGTAGAGATTCCCGAAGTATCCTGTATTCAAGTTCTGTTGGTTCTGTGTATATGTATGACTTGATTTAATTCTGTTGACTAGACTTAAGATACTATTATGTGTGTGGGTATAATGTATGAATGACTTTTGATTATGTATATCAAGTTTTTTTTATAAATATTCCGTTTCATATAAGTCAGCACAGCTCATTGGACAACTATATTTATGTATTTGCTTCCGCTAGCCCCTTAATCTTGTTAATCTGTTCAGAGGCCTTCGGTAGTCCAAGGATTACTGGCCGGTTACGATGCTAAACCTATAGGGGCGGGTTTGGGTCGTGAAACAAACTGATGGTCCTCCCTAGTCCTATCAATTTGAGGGGGAATGATAAGATTACTAAGCCATTGCAAGCAAAATCAATTGCTCAGTTGAAGTCTCAAGCACAGTCCAAGCCACAACTCAAGATATGTACTAAGAAGCCTAAATGATGCCTAACAAATGCAGTCAGCTTGAGCATTGCTCAAGTCATCGCGTGCATGAAGAAGACTTGTATGGACATAAGACAGAGAGAGATATAACTATAAAGTAGTTAGAGTAAGTGCAAACATCTTGTATAAATAAAGTGTAAAAACAGATCATTTTGATCATTGAGAATAGAATTTGATTTCTTGTTACAAACCCCCTATATTGTGAAAATCTTGTACATGAATATTAGCTATTCTTTTACTAAACTCAGCCTTTGATTTCTGGGGTCAAGTTTAGTGGAAGAACAATGAAGTTGAGGACATTATATAAAGAGCCAATTGTGTAGAAACAAACTATTACAGATTCCATTTTTAAAGCTCAATTGAGCATTTGGTATGAGATTAATTCCCTATATATATATATATATATATATATATAAAGTTATTTGTGGCATCCTTAGCATCATATGATATGCGTCCATTTATGGGTCATCAGGTCCCTTTATGGGTCATCAGAAACGTTTCTGTGCACATGAGTCATCAGAATGCCTTCAAGGCTGTCCCTTTATGGGCCATCGGATTTATTAACGCTAATGGATGTACCACGTATGATTATATGCAAAATCTGAATATGTATATGAATATGTTTCTGATAAGAACTTGGTTTCTAACTCTGTGATGGACATCATTCATTAAATCCTTTACTCTGTTTTTATTCATTGGGCTTTAGCTCATTGTGTGTATATATATGTATAGGTGAGCATTCTGGAACTCGAGCTTGAAGGCTTTTGTCTGGATCTGTGTTCTGTTGTCAGCCAACCATTGTGCCTCACGTAGAGATTCCCGAAGTGTCCTGTATTCAAGTTCTATTGGTTTTGTGTATATGTATGACTTGATTTAATTCTGTTGACTGGACTTAAGATACTATTGTGTGTGTGGGTATAATGTATGAATGACTTTTGATTATGTATATCAAGTTTTTTTTTATAAATATTCCGTTTCATATAAGTCAGCACAGCTCATTGGACAACTATATTTATGTATTTGCTTCCGCTAGCCCTTAATCTTGTTAATTTGTTCAGAGGCCTTCGGTAGTCCAAGGATTACTGGCCGGTTACGATGCTAAACCTATAGGGGCGGGTTTGAGTCGCGACACAAACTGATGGTCCTCCCTAGTCCTATCAATTTGAGGGGGAATGATAAGATTACTAAGCCATTGCAAGCAAAATCAATTGCTCAGTTGAAGTCTCAAGCACAGTCCAAGCCACAACTCAAGATATGTACTAAGAAGCCTAAATGATGCCTAACAAATGTAGTCAGCTTGAGCATTGCTCATGTCATCACGTGCATGAAGAAGACTTGTATGGATATAAGATAGCGAGAGATATAACTATAAAGTAGTTAGAGTAAGTGCAAACATCTTGTATAAATAAAGTTTAAAAACAGATCATTTTGATCATTGTGAATAGAATTTGATTTCTTGTTACAAACCCTACTATATTGTGAAAATCTTGTACATGAATATTAGCTATTCTTTTACTAAACTCAGCCTTTGATTTCTGGGGTCAAGTTTAGTGGAAGAACAATGAAGTTGAGGACATTATATAAAGAGCCAATTGTGTAGAAACAAACTATTACAGATTCCATTTTTAAAGCTCAATTGAGCATTTGGTATGAGATTAATTCCCTATATATATATATATATATTTTTTCTTAAGCAATTTCATGAAATATATTTGTCATTAATAATATTATCCATTCTGCGTACATTCTTCAATAGCATCAAATTACCTCATTCAAGTGACACAATGCCATTAACTTATATATTTTTTAAATTAAATCTTTGATTGGTGTGCACTGGCAAAATTAATTGGTTGATAAAAAAAAATTTTAATCAGCAAAGAAAAATTTCAGCATGAAATTAAAAGTACAGAAAGATGACATGCATCGAGAGAGATTCATAAAGTATAAAATACCCCTACTACTGCTGCTCGCATCCATACAACCAACCCCTTAGCCTCACGATTTTTTTAAAACAAAAAAAATTAAGAAGGACTTAACAAGAAAAAGAATACAAGAATCCCCATAAAATCAGCCCACAAAACCACGTGTTATTTTTTTAATGCTAGGTCATCTTCCTGATAATTTAATGCTAGATCGTACTAAACATACAAAAAATGTTTATTAATATAAGTACTATACAAATTAACAAATCTTTAAAAAAATTAAAAAAATTACAAACTGATGTGTTAGTAATAATAAAGTGTTAGAATCTAAAACACGAGTATATGATCCACTTCAATAATATGATATTTTTTTTATCAGCAAAGAAAATTTTTATTAACGGCATGAAATTAAAGGTACAGGAAGATGACATGCATCGAGAGAGATTTGGAAAGTACAAAATATCCCTGCTACTGTTATTCGCATCCATACAACCAACCCCTTGGCCTCACAATTTTTTTTTTTTTAAACAAAAAAATTAAGAAGAACTTAACTAGAAAATAGAATACTTGAATCCCCACAAAATTACCCACAAAATCCAAAACCAAAGCTGCTACACACCCAACGCCTACCTGCTAATTTAAAACTAAAACTTTACCGCCCACTAGCTATTTTTTGAAACTAAAATAATCACCTATACTGCTTCAACTCCCAACACCTATGCTGCTTCATATCTATACCGCCCACCTGCTGCACACCCAGGCCTGACAACTCCCAAAGCCCAACGCCCACCTGCTACTACTGCTAAATCTGTACACCACGCTCCTCTACACCTCCTAACTCCCACCTGCTAAATCTTTTCACCACGCTTCACTGGCCAGAAAAATCCATAGCCAACATCACCACGGCTGGAAGAACTTCCATGCCTGACATCTCCAAGCTGCTATACTACTGCTATATCTTTACTACCGATGCTGCTATACTCCACATGCTGCTTCACTTCCACTGCCCAGCGAAGGCCCACGCCGGACAACACACTGCCAACACCCAACTACACCCACGGACAACACCCAAGGCCACACCTCTCCGACGCGGTGGTTCAAAACTCTGAACACACCCAAGGCCGATCAACACTCATGACAACAAGACCCACTGCAGGTACTACTCCGCCGTCCCTATATTGACGACCCAACGCCGAACTCCTCTTATTCAAAACAACTGCTGAGATACCACCACACATCTGGACGACGTTCAACCCTCAAACTCCCATACGCATAGAAACGCTCGAATGAAATCTTATACAGATCCGGATCATCTTCGACACTAATGCTTCCCCCCGACCAAAACACCGAAACACCTCCATAGATCTGAGCAGAGAACACCCCTCAAACTTCCACGCGCAAAGAAGCACCCGAATGAACATCCTAACCAGATCTGGATCGTCCTCTTTGCCGACCCAGTGAACAACCAAAACGTCACCAAAACACCCAAAAAACTAAGCAAGAACTATGGCAGCCTGCGCAGCACCGGTGGAAAAATAATGAGGGAATCAAGTTTATTAAACGGAAAACTAACAAACAAAAACACTAAAAGAACTGGGCCAGCCGACCTCCATAGCCAAAGGCGGCGACCGGCCGTTCAATAATATGATATAGGTGCTACATCAATAAGTAAAAAAGAAAATTACGTGTAAAATTTATTAGTTTATGTAATATTAATAGGAGCCTCTGCAAGCTGAAATATGAACTTCTTTTATTATTGCTTATAAATTAACTAAGCAAATATCACCCAATTACAAATTCTTTTCTGATCTAGTGACTAAACAAAACCCTAGATTTATGAGAAAGAGAGGTACGAAAAAAGGCAATACAAGCATAGACCTATTGCATAAGTAAGCTCCTAATTATGGCCGCTTGAGCGCTATCAGTTGTAGCCAACAGTTCGGACAAGCGCTCACTTAGGTCATCAACCTCTCTGTGCAAGCCTCTTATGCAGTCGCAAGTCTCCTGTAACACCCTCGCTGCTGAAACCTATATATATATATTCAAATCAGTCAGCAAAGAATACTAGGGCTGTTTGGTTTTGACAAACCCTAGAATTTCTCAATGAGTAGTATCATCCTGTGCAAGTCTCCTATTGTGACAAAACCCTAGATTTTGAGGGTTATTAAAAAGAGTATAAATGGATATCTTACTATATATGTTAATAAAGCTCAAAACATTAGGACTGTTTAGTTTTATTTCTGTTTTCTTTGTTTTTGTTTATGTTTTTTGTGTTTTTGTAAATGAAAACAAAACAAAAGTATGAAAACACCAATTCTGTTAAATAATTTTCATTTTTGAGGGATTATTTTTTTTAATTCAAAACGATTTTTTGATGTTCCCTAAAAAGTGAGCTGTTAAAAATAAAAAAATAACAGAAAATAATAAGCCAAATAAATTTGTGTTTTTCTAGAAAATGAAAGCAAAACATGAAAAATGAAAACTATATGTTACAGGTTCATTTTTATTTTTATTTTTATATTTTAATAATCTTCGAGTTCACCTTATTTCTTTTTGTTGTGATGAAAATTAAAGAAAAAAAAAAAAAAAAAGGATGACCTTTTAACAAGAAAAACCTCACTACAGGAGTAGTAAACTAAAATTTAAGCCATATATATATGTAGATTTTTTTTAACTTTGATTAACTTAACCTTCATTTTTTTTTTTTAAAAAACAAAAACCCTCTCTTTTTTTCTTGAATAATGTATTTTTTTTTTTTAAGCACATCCAAATGAATTTACCCAAGAAGAAAAATATTTAAAAATTTCTAAATACACATAATTCGATTATAAACCTAGAGATAATCCACTTTGATAAGATAGTGGAATCCAAGGATTATATATTGTCCCGTGATCAAATTTTATGCACATAGAAGAATTGAAAAGATTAAGTTCTTAATTAAAAGCATGAGAGAAATTAAAAGAACAAGAGAATTAGAAGAAACAAAGTACGTTGTCGGAGTGCCTATGGCGAAGCTCAGGAAGAAGTTGTTGTAACTTGGAAATGAGCTCGTTGATCTGCTCATCGCTAATCCTCGAAGCTTCTCCTCCTGATTGCCTTGAACGTGATCTTTGGCGAGACATTTTTTTATTATATATTTGTAAACTCGATATTTATGTCAGAAACAAGTTACTTAAGAGATGGAATAGATCGAAACTCAACTGACAAATCAGATTAAATTTGTCAGAGAACAAAGAAAACTTTTAGGAAAATGGTTAAGCAGGTTGGAGTGGAAAGAAAGATAGAGTGTCTGAGACAAGTTATGGAGAAAGATAGAACTGCTTTGGAGAGAGAGAGAGAGAGAGAGAGAGCACAATAACACAACTTCAAGCAGTGGTATTGTTGGGGGTGAAGAAGACAACTGCATGGGAGAAAGCGGTGGGCAAAGGTTGTATTTAAATAGGGTTTTGGAGAGAGAGAGAGAGAGAGAGAGAGAGAGAGAGAGATTCAAGTTCATACTGTCTTCCTTCTGTTTCATCCCAAGTTGGGTTTCATCTCAAGTGATCTTAAAAACTGATAGGGGTAGGGTTTATCAATTGTTTTTTAATTTTTGTTTTTTGTTTTTTTTGTTTTGTTTTTACGAAACTATAAAATTTGATGGTAATGGTAGTTGTTAAATTTTTAGTTTAGGAGAAAGCTTTGTGTGTACTTTTAGCAATTGTGTATCCCAAATTTTCTTTTAATATTTATTTTTTTGGAAGAAGTTGCTCCTTTAGACAAACTATACATTTATTTACTTATTTTAATTTTGACATTTTTTAAGAAAAAACTCCTGTGCTTAGTTGGGAGATTTGGAGAGGGATTTGGAAAGAGAAAATAAAAGGGTGTGTGAAACTATGTGAAATATAGGCATGATTTATTCACATTTCACCTACCTTTTTCATTTCTCTTTCCAAATTCGCCAATCAAACACAGTATTAGAGATTGCAAAACAGTATGAGAGATGTTGTTCTTAAAGCTAGCATAAAGGGTTTTGTGTGTGTTAGTAGAAGTTATGGGTAAATTGGACCTCTACTGTGTGATATTAATAGTAGATTTACATAATCATTTTATTTTTTAAAAAAATAAAAATAAAATAATCATATATAGTTTAATTATTGAAATAATGCTCCACATATAATTTCTCGTGTGTTTTGCTTTATACACAATTCCTTTTTATTTCAATTATTTTATTAACATTCTTATTATTATTAAAATGAAATTGTTTTCAATTGGAAAAAGAAGACTTCTGAAAAAAGAAATCTGTTTACCTAGTTCTCACTCAACCATCAATCTCAAACTATGTTTCTTTTACAAAGAGGAAGTATGTATATATATTAAAAATCATAATGCATGCGATATGAATAGCATATTGTCATATATTGAGGGAAAAGAATAAATTTTATTTATTTACTTTGATTGGCCAAATAAATAACAATTTGATGTAGAGAGTGGAAATGATCGTAGAGACACCATTGAATGTTGTATAGAGTTAAAAATGGATTGAAAAATAGATTTGTGAAGTAGTTTTTGAACCATTTCTTCATAGGTACAGTATTCAAGTAATGTCTTTTGATTTTACCTATCTTAGCATGTGCTTTGTTTCAGACATAGAGAAATATAATGCAAAAAAATATATAATTTGTTTTTTTTATTATTTTGCACTCAAAATTAGTGATGACCCAAACAGTTTTAAAAGAAAATTGACAAGAAAATACCGACATGACTTTTTATTGTAAATATTATAATATTAAAATAGAGCGCACACACACGCCAAGTTTGGGGACTTCAAAAAAAAAAAAAAAAAAAAAAAAAAAAAAAAAAGACTTAGCAATTATTGTGAAACAATTTAGATCTAAGCAGTTATTTGTGTCTTGAAAGTACTTTGGAAAAACTTAAAAACTGTAACATTCTTTTTTTTTTTTTTTAATTCATAAATGGATATGCAGATAGGCTAGTCCAATCCAATATATTCATTAAAGAGTATTGCTCCTTAGCACCCACAACATATCTGCAAAAACCCTACCACACCTACGTCGAGGCTAGAACTTAGGCTCCCGCATGCTTCAAACACTAAAGAGTATATTTAATCCCAACAAAAAGTCATGAAGACTCGAACCCAAGCCTTGAGCAAAGGATTCAAAAATCTTATCTACTTAGCAGATGATTGGGTGTGCGTTTTGGTGCCAACCTAGTTGGGATCCAAATGTTTCACTGTGATGCTTTTTGCACCCTCTTCTTTATTGATGTATTCTTATCATTCTTGTTATGTTTTTCATCAATAAAGCTTTTCTTTTGCCGATCAAAAAAAAAACTAACCCTGTTGCTTAAAAACTATAACATTCACACTTACTTAAAAGTTAGCTTTGTATAAGAATAATAATAATCAGAATGTGAGTATATTTATATGGGTGAGTTCGAAATTAACAGTAACAGATTTGTAGATATTATAAGTTTAGACGTTGCAATTACAGTGACAGAGAAAGACATTTTTGAGAAGCAAAAACTGTGACTTCCACCCCAAATTCAGTGTTTTTATTTTCATTTTTACATATACTAGAAGATATATATACAGACCAATATAAATGTGCAATTACAAGATTCAATGTTATTTTGTTATTATAGTATTTGCATCCGCCTTCTTTATTGATTGATGTCATTATATTATTACTTGATTATCATCAATAATTTTTTTTTTTATCAGCAAAAAAAAAATTAATTTATTGATAAAATCAACATATAGTACATGACAATACATCAACAAAGGAGAAACAAGAGCAAAACTCATCATAGCATAACTTCCTAAGTCAATCATATGAAGGCTTCATTAATAAAGTCTTATTTTGTTGTTTAAAAAAAAATAAAAAATAAAAAATAAAAATTGCAAGATTCATAAATTTATAAAAATGCTACTAAGAGTACTAGCAGTTAAAAAAGTAATTTAAAAAAAATTCAAAAATACAAATTTCATGATATCAACACTAACTCGAGTATTTGTTTTATATATAGGAGAGAGAGAGAGAGAGAGAGACCATGTCTAAGGGAAGTGAAACCAGGGTAACATGAGGAGGTTACATGGGGGAGGTGATGGGGATTGTTGACTGGTCAAACCTCACACAACATGGCCATTGCTCCAAACTGGAATGCAGACTTGACACGTGGACCTCCCGCCGGGGAACATAGGCGTTACACCGACCCATCCAGTTCCTCTGCAAAAATATTAATTTCCATTTTGTATTTTATTATTTACTTGTCTTTAATCAATAATATTATATTATAATTTTATTACACTCGTGTGGTGAATATGGGTTATGATGACCTCACCCATTGAACGGTTTCATATCTTGGCCTCATACCTCTTACTTATCTTGTTAGAGCATCCATCTCCATAGTTTACTCAGGAATTTTATTAAATTTAAATAAAAGTTTAATCTAATATGATACGTTTTAATCGCTTCAGTTAGTCATTCGGCTTCAAGTAAATTTTTACCAAATCTTTCAAAATCCGATCATCTACCCGATTGTCCAGTTGATTGTCCACCTGGTTGTTCAGCTGGTCTTCAATCTGACACCAACGATCGCTTGTAAAATTTAATGAAAGGTTACTTTTATTTTATGTGAGTTTGATGACATGGGAGAAGGGGTACTGCTGCCCCTTTATGGGAAATTGTCCTGAATATTTTTTGATGATCTGAACCGTTCATATTATAGGGTTCGTTAAAAATATTATTCATATAAAAAATCAAGTTAATCGGATATTCATAATCCCATGATTAGGTCCTAATTGTTTTTAAAAAATTATGAAAATTATGTTAACCGTTAATTTTTATAGAAACAAATGTGTTTTGGTTATAGGGTTACAGATATCCAATCAATTTGATTTTTTACATGGATGATCTACTAGACGAACCCTACAATATGAATAGTTCAGATTATTAAAAAACACTCGAGACAATCTCCCACAAAAGGGCAGCAGTAGTTGTTGTGCCTTATGGGTATCCCATGGTTTTAGCTCAAAAAGTAGGCTCTTTTCATCAAATTTAAATTTGATAAAATATTTGAGTAATGGTTGGAGATGGTATTAGGAGGGTAAACCAAGTGAATCAAATTATTAAAATTTGATTTTTAATAAATTTTAAAATCCATTTAAAATTTACTTATTTACATAATGTGTGAACGTCGAATAAGTTATTAATAAACTGAATACAAGTTAAATTTGAAGAGTTCGACTTTTTCATAATACATAAATAAATAATAATTTATTCAAATTTATCTTGAAAACTTAATAAATTTTTAAATATATTTAAATTTAATTTATTTACATAACGAACAATATATATTAACGGGTTGAACAACTTTGCTCATTTTGCAGTCTTGATGTTGTTTCGATTCTGTATGGCTTTTAGCTACAATATTTGTTAGATAATGTCTCAATGGGACCACATAATTAAATGTGGTGTTATCATTTATAAGAAGCCTACAATTTAAGTGATTCAATTTAGTTAATAGGCTTAAGGGTATATGTGTTATGGACCTAATGTGTAGATACTAGTTGTATAATTTCTATTTCTATGAGGGGCAGAAATAGAAATTAAAACATAATGGTTAAAGTTGGTTTTCATTCCTTTTCAACTTCCACAACCTTTCAGTTTTGAAAACCAATAAATAGAAATTAAAACCAATAATGGTTAAAGTTGGTTTTCATTCCTTTTAAACTTCCACAACCTTTCAGTTTTGAAAACCAATAAATAGAAATTAAAACCAATAATGGTTAAAGTTGGTTTTCATTCCTTTTAAACTTCCACAACCTTTCAGTTTTGAAAACCAATAAATAGAAATTAAAACCAATAATGGTTAAAGTTGGTTTTCATTCCTTTTAAACTTCCACAACCTTTCAGTTTTGAAAACCAATAAATAGAAATTAAAACCAATAATGGTTAAAGTTGGTTTTCATTCCTTTTAAACTTCCACAACCTTTCAGTTTTGAAAACCAATAAATAGAAATTAAAACCAATAATGGTTAAAGTTGGTTTTCATTCCTTTTAAACTTCCACAACCTTTCAGTTTTGAAAACCAATAAATAGAAATTAAAACCAATAATGGTTAAAGTTGGTTTTCATTCCTTTTAAACTTCCACAACCTTTCAGTTTTGAAAACCAATAAATAGAAATTAAAACCAATAATGGTTAAAGTTGGTTTTCATTCCTTTTAAACTTCCACAACCTTTCAGTTTTGAAAACCAATAAATAGAAATTAAAACCAATAATGGTTAAAGTTGGTTTTCATTCCTTTTAAACTTCCACAACCTTTCAGTTTTGAAAACCAATAAATAGAAATTAAAACCAATAATGGTTAAAGTTGGTTTTCATTCCTT